ATGCTGTCTTTATTTTAACTTCTTTCATATTTTATGTCATTAACTTTTGATCTATAACTGGCTCTTGCATTAATTATTCTCATTCTCCAGTCTCTTCAACATCCACGTTAGCCTGTTTCTAAAAATTGTATTCTCTACTGTTACACTTAATCTGCTTCAAACTGAGCTGACCTAACATAAGCCTTGACATTTTTTGCTATCTTGACCTTGACATTTTTATTGTTACTCATATTATTCTAGTAATATAAGACTGCATTTTAAAATATCATCTTTATGTACATGAGGTAATCTGGTTCAAATACATACCACTCTACTTGTTCCAGCACTGACTTAGCTGGTCTGGTTGCTCATTTCCCTCTTAAAAGCTGTAAGATCAGTCCTTTTTCATGGAGCTGCTCATTCTGCCACAATGCCACAGCTTCTGAAGCTAACCCTTACCCACATACACATGCTGTGTCACCACATGTCTGTGTTTGTTATAGTAGCCAATATGATTTTAATGTCAGCCTGTGGTTCTTTTCTTTCCACTCACAATCAATCTCTAGTCTTTCCTCGTCTAGCTTGACCCAATTCCTGTTGCCTGATTTCTCTGTCTAAAACTACATCTTTTCCACATCTTAAATCTCTGTGTTCTACTTCCTTCAACTAACTTGTCCTTCATCTTAGCTTTTAGTTCCTCGATACCTACAATTCCTTTTGGTCTTTGTAGCTATAACCCGCACGCTTTGATCTTTTTACTGTTCTTTCTCTCTCTCTCTCTCTCTCTTTCTCTCTCTCTTTCTCTCTCTCTCTCTCTCTCTCTATATATATATAGCTATACTATGAGAGACCTAAAAAGCTTCTCAATCATCCAACTGTTACAAACCAATAACAACTTTTCTTGTTAATATCTTTTAGAATTTCACAGTCAAGGTAAATATATAGTAAAGGAAGTAAATTAATCACTTATAAAGCTAATATAAAGGTTAAAAGACAAAAGTAGTAAAACTATGATTACAGTAATTGGTTACGGAATATACAAGATAATAATATGTAAACTGTGACATTAAAAATGTAAAATATGGGGAGTTAGTAAATGTTGAACTTTACAGCGTGACCAAACTTAAGTTGTTATCAACTTAAAATAGACTCTTATACATATAAGTTGTTATATATAAGCCTCATAACAATCACAAAGCAAAAACCTATAGTAAATACACAAAAAAATAAAGAGACAGAAATAGGCATACCACAAAAGAAAGTCATCAAAGTGCAAAGGAAGAGAGCAAGAGAAGAAAGGAACAAAGAGGAACTACAAAAAACATCAAGCAAATAATTAATAAAATGCAAAATGCACATACCTATCAATAATTACTTTAAATGTAAGTGGACTGAATTCTCTAATCAAAGAGATAGAGTAAGTAAATGGATAAAAATCAACAACAAGGCCACCTATATGTTGCAAACAAAAGACTCACTTTAGATGTAAGGACACACATAGATTGAAAATAAAGGGATGCAAAGGGAAACCAGAAGAAAATTGGAGTAGCTGTATTTATATCAGACAAAATAGACTTTGAAATGGGGACTGTAATAAGACCCTGAATAGCCACAGCAATCTTAAGAAAGAAAAAAATTTGGAGCAATCATGCTACTTAATATCAGACAATTTTACAAGACCATAGTAATCAAAAGGGCATGGTACCAGCATAAAAGAGACATATAGATCAATGGAACAGAATACAGAGTTCAGAAATAAACCCACATCGTTATAGTCAATATTTGACAAAGGAGGCATAAACATACAATGGGGTAAAGATAATCTATGCAAAAGATGGTGTGGGGAAAATTAGACAGATATGTGCAAAAACGTGAAAATAGACCACCATACATAAAATAAACTCAAAATGGATTAAAGACTTAAATGCTAGACTTGAAAACATCAATATCCTAGAAGAAAACACTGGCAGTAAAATCTCAGACATTTCTTGTAGCAATGTTTTTTCTGATACATCTCCTCAGGTAAGGGAAACAAAAGAAAAAATTTAAATAATGAGACTACGTCAAACTAAACAGTTTTTTCACAGGAAAAAAATTAAAAATAAAAAAATCAACAAAATAAAAAGACAACCCACTGAATGGGAAAACACATTCATCAATGATACATCTCATAGGGGTTAATATCCAAAGATTATAAAGAACTTATAAAACTCAACACCAAGAAAAATAAACAACCCAATTAAAAAATAGGCAAAGGACCTGAATAAGTACTTTCTTAAAGAGGACATGCAGATGGCCAGTAGACATATGAAAAAATGCTCAATGTCTCTAATCATTAAAGAAATGCAAATGAAAACCACAGTGAGATATCACCTCACACTTGTCAAACTGGCTGTCATCCATAAATGAACAGACAACAAGTATCGGCAAGGATATAGAGAAAAGGGAACCCCTGTCTACTGTTGGTAGGAATTGTACACAAGAAACCTATATAATTGTATTAACCCATATATAACACCAATAAATTCAATAAAAATTAAAAATAACAAGATATAACATTTAAAAATATTTAAGTACCAATATAGGATCACCTAAATATATAAAGCAGATATTAACTGATATAATAGGGATAATAGATAGCAATACAATAATAGTAGGGTACTTTAATACTTCACTTACATATATGTATAGATAAACTGGACAGAAAATCAATAAGGAAACACCAGCATTAAATGATTCCAGGTGGAGTAACAGATATTTATTATAGAATATTGCATCCAAAAGCAACAAAATTCACATTCTTCTCAAGCACACATAGAACATTTTCCAAGATAGATCATATGTGTTCAGCCACAAAAGAAGTCTTAATAAATTTAAGAGGACTGAAATTTTATCAAGCATCTTTTCTGACCACAGTATATGAAACTAGAAATTAATGACACAAAGAAAATTTACACCATATACAAAAACTAACTCAAAATGGATTAAAGACTTGAATGTAAGACCTAAGAACATAAAACTACTACAGAAAACAAGTGATAAGCTGTTTTGACATAGATCTTGGCGATGACTTTTTGAATATGACACCAAAGCAAAAGTAAACAAGTGAGACTACATCAAACTAAAGAGTTCCTTCTGCACATCAAAGGAAACCAACAACAAAATGAAAAAGCAACTTACTGAATGGGAGAAAATATCTGCAAATCATATACTGATACAGAGCTAATATCAAAAAAATATAAAGAACTCATACAAATCAAAAGCCCCAAAACCTAATAATCCATTTAAAACTGGGCAGAAGATCTAAATAGACATTTTTCTAAAGAAGACAGACAAATGGCCAACAGGTACATAAAGAGATTCTCACATCATTAATCATCAGGGAAATGCAAATCAAAATCACAATGAGATATCACCTCATACCTGTCAGAATGACTATTATCAAAAAGACAAGAAATAACAAGTGTTGGCAAGGAAGTGGAGAAGGAGAACACTCATGTACTGCTTGCTAGTGGGGATGTAAATTGGTGCAACCACTATGGAAAACAGTATGGAAGTTCCTTAAATAATTAAGAATAGAACTATGATATGATCCAACAATTTCACTTCTAGGTATTCAGTCAAAGAAAACAAAAACACTAATATTAAAATATATACACATCCCCATGTTCATTGCAATATTATTTACAATAGCTAAGACATGGAAACAGCTTAAGTGTCCATCAATGGACACATGCATAAAGATGTACACACAGACACATGGAAATATTATTCTCCCATTAAAAAATGAAATCTTGCCATCTGCAACAACACTGATGAAACTCTAGGGAATTATGCTAAGTGAAAAAGAGAAAAGACAAATACTGTATGATCTCTCATACGTGCGTATGTGTGTATGGTGTCTATATCTTTGTATCCCAGATACAAAGAACAGACTGGTTAACAGAGGCAGGAAATGAGTAAGTTGTTTTTGTTTCATTTATAATTAAATAATTTGAATTAAAAAAATATATTTTAGAATTTGACTCCTCTGAATCTTCTGTAAAAATTGTATTTAAGTTTTCATATATTCAGCATTTAAACAAAGGCTAGAATAGGGCCAGAAGTGTCTAAAGAGCAACCTTTTAATACCTTAAACTCATACAGTGTTGTTATATCAATGATATCTCAATAAAATTGTAAAAATTATATCTACCCAGAATCGTACCTTACATATATTAATATTTGTTAAATTAAGTGACAAACATGTACAGGGAGGCAGGAAAAGAGAGAGATTGTCAATGGGAGAAAATGATTAGAAAGAAAGGTTGGGGAAGCCTACAAACCTTGGACCTTATTTGTAAAAAAAGAGGGAGCTACTAAAAACAAAATCAACTTGGCAGATGTACACATAAAATTGTTAACTTTTAAACAAAGCTGCATTAGAGGATGAAATTAGAACTTCTGCATTAGAAGTAGATCTTTATGTTAATAGAAATAAATTCATCAAGTGACAGTTATTAAGCACCTGTTTTTATTGTTATCATAAAATGGAAATGGTTCCTCCAAAAGAATTTAAGTTAGCCTAATATTTGTTAGAATTCCAATGAAAACCATTGAGACACATGTATTCCTGTAATTCAGAGTCCAGAAGCCCTGGTGCAAGGTTTGTCTCAATTAGACCTGAACGTACCCCCTAACTTGATATTCTGTCTTCTCAGTAGACTCTCTTTCTCCTTAAAGACTTCCATTTGTTGCCAGAGTTTACCTACACCTCAGGCTCTGACGTGGGACTCCCTCTTGGACCAGTGGTTTTTGATGTCAAGTATTTTTTTTCTTTTTCTGTGGATCGGCCTTTAGCATAACCCTGGGGGCAGAGTCAGTCATTCTGGAAGCTTTTCCCCTTACTTGGCCCAGGGCAAGGGCAGGGAGGGCAAGTGCTGATTAAATGAATGAACCAGAACTTGAAAATATAATAAGCCATGACACAAGACATAATTGATAAAATTAGCAAAATCGTATAAAGATATGAAACATGATACCTGATGGGCCAGAATATAGATATTGTGTCCAACATCTTTTGGAGAAACACCGTCGTCTCCACCCTCATCGTGCCCGTGATCGCATTCCAGTCCTTGGTTATAGGCATTCTTCATCACATCCACCTTTCAAAACACCAGTAGGAACAGCAAGGCTTGAAATGCCACAGACAACATGCCTTTTACATCATTTATGAGGTGTAATTAAAAGCTGGCACCCTTCCTAAGACTAGAAAAGCATCAAAGAACTCCAAATGAAAATGGCCTTGGAAACCATCTTTATTTAAATTAACGTGGAAGTATTTTCTTAACAATATTCACTCTTTTCCTTGGGGAACTTTGTTTTGATTTTTGAATGCCGACAGTGCCAAAGTTCCCATGAATTAGGAGACTGGATCTGCAATAAGGAACCATTATTTATTAAAGGCCCACCAGGTAACCAGGATCCATGGTGCTGGATATTAGACTGCACTGAGGACCCAACAGTAGATACGACAGAGTATTTGCCCTCAAGAGGAGGCTCTAATTAGGTACAGGGCCAGGGCACTAACTCAGTCAAGATGTTGAAAGTGGGCCATAAGGAGGAAGTGAATGATGAGAAAAACGTGGCTGAGAACAACGTTGTAGGCTGAGGAAACAGTATTTTCAACGGGCTATTGTACAGTCTGTTTTTGAATGAATATATAACCCATTGCTACATTTAACCATAAGTACAAAAGATACTGATTTTATTTTTATTGTTCAGAAAAAGGTAAAATTTTGTATAATTTTTGAGGGGCACAAACATTTTTAAACACCTTCCTAATATATTCCAATACTTAAACTAAAGCAAACTTTTCTTACTTCTCTTAGCCTATTACCTTGCAGATACTAGACACTCATTATTATATATATATAAAATCAAAATACATCTTATCTTTTCTTTTCATCTGCCCTCCTCAACTCCATTCCTCACTATTAGAGAGCAAAAGAATGCCCTTCCATAGCATTTCCCCGTAACAGCCAACAGTGGGGCTCCTAAGCCTAGGATCCAGTCACTGGGACGTTGAGCTATATGGTTTGAAAATGTTCTCAATGATTTTCAAACCCAGTGTTTTAAGGCATGCCAATATTATTTCATGATTTCCACATGGAAAAATATAACTTCTGCCATAGGAAGGCCCATTCATGATCTCTGTGGAATCCCCATTGAGTCTCCAGTTTTCTTTAGAACAAGCATTAGGCAACATTTCACTCATAAGAACAAAAACAAAAGACACTGATTTCCTTTTCATTGTTCAGAAAGAGGTATAAATATAATTTTTCAGAGGTATAAATATTTTTTATATACCTTCCTCATATATTCCATACACAAACTAAAGCAAACTTTTCTTGTCAAAAATAATTTGCAGATAATTTAGTAGAGTGGGACAATCTGGTTAAGGAAAGTGCCAAGAGTGGGTAAAACCAATGAAATCATTAAGGATCCAAAACACATTGGCCTTTGCCATCATGGGGTCCTCTGAGGTATTTGTAATGTGCTGGTCTGCCTTGGTAGAGCAGGGGAAGTCACTAGACGTTTTCCTGACATGCATACTACAAACTTATCCCTTTCAATTGTACATCAGTAAGTTGACTTTCAAAAGTTTTCTTACCAGTTCCCTGGGTCTCATGTTAAAAAGAATTCTCTCTGCATTCTCGCTGTCATGTCTGCTTTCCATAATGGCCAGCAAAAGTTTGGAGGCATTGTTCTAGAGAAACAGATTGAGTTAATGCACAAGAAAAATCTATTTCATGGGTTAACGATCCCCTGCATTTGTTTTAATTGAGATTACCAAGACCATTTTTTTAATCAAATAGAATTTTAAACTGCTAATTTGGTTTGGCTTATTAGCATTTCAAAACAGAATGTTTTACTTTATTGTCAATACATAATAAAAATAATGAATCATGAGAGGTAAGTTACAGGGGCTATTTTAAATATTGGTGAAAAGGTGTTTTAAAAACAAGACTGAATCGATATATCATACATTAAAGCATAATCATATTTTTCTTCACTATTTCCTAATGAGCATTTCTATGATGACATTTTTAACAGACAGTAAGGTTATCCAGTATCAGTGACATATTTCATGAAATGGTATATAATTTAAAGAATTTAGTAAATTGTTTTTAATATGAAACATTAATACATGTTATCAAATCACCATTTTAAATTTGAGCAATAATTACTGAAAATCTATAAAATTTTAAATTCATGAGTTAAAAATAAAATATAAATTTATTGATAACTAGTCCCACAATGTGACAGTATAGATGCAACATGTTTACCATCTGGGTTACAGATGAATAATTTTTTGTATTTTTGTTTAATAAAGAATGAAATAGTTTATGTTGTCTTTGATGTTTTCTAATTTCATTTATAAGTATATTGTCTCTAACATTTTACCTATAGATATCAAAAATGTTTCTGATGCAGTCGATTCATAATCCAAGATAGGTACCACATAGCTGCAGAAAGTCTTGCCACACAAAGCACAATATCCTCATCATTTGGAAAGAGGTTTCTTTACATTGTTTTCAAGAGCTCTGCCCTAGAATTGCGGCAAGTTGCACAATGAAAAAAACTATCTGAGAGGTATTTCTACAGTGTTTTTGTAATGTTCAAAAAATCTCAACCTCCACACACAATCTCTGATAGCAGCACAAAAGAAGTACAGTCAAATGGCTTCGTGATGCTTCTTAGTGACCCAAAATTAACATCTCACAGGATGAAATCTTAAATTGAATCAGTTATTTGGTATGCAGACATTCTCAACAGAACCTGTTGAAGTTTTTCAAATTAATTTTACTGAGTAGTTTTAATACCATATTCTATCCAACTATTTTTTTCTTTCAGAAATACAATCTAAAGATTATCTTTAAATGACTAACAGTGATAAGGATGATGTTATGATACCCATGTCATGGGCCTATCCTAAAGAGATTTTAGTATTTTGTTAGGAGGTGGCATTAATTTTTTCTGTCTCATTTTATAAGTTTACAGATTTGTACATTTTTATAATCTAACATCTTATCCATACAAACAATATTCCTAAAAATATTAGGTCCCAGAATTAGTGGAGAATTCAAGTCCTGAGAGCAATCTGAACTGGCTCTATAGTACTCAAAGCTAAAACCTTGCCAAACAATAGCAGTCTTCTCTAATGAACCTCGCTCAGCAGGCCCAGTGCGTCATACCTTTAAAATACATCCAATTTCAGAATGCTATTGGAATTACGGTATGTTTTTCTAACCAATCTTCTTTCTCATACTACGTTGGAAATACAAGAATCTTGTAAATGACCTACTGAAATCTGAATCAACTTGAAAGTAAAAGGGACCATATACACTGAAAAATCAAATACAGATGGCAGTGTTAACAGAGGGTTTTCTTCTAAAGGAAGCTAGAGTCCTAAAAGCAAAACAAAACAAAACAAAATGACCTACTTAGAAATTCAGCACTTCATTATCACAGATCGGTTAGAAAATGTAAATTAAAAAGTAAAAGGCAAGACATATATATAAGAAAATTAATATAAATATATATAAATGAGTATATAGAATGAAATATACTTAAAATCATAAATAATTAAGCAAATAAATTCAAGGATGAATTCTATAAAATAAGACCATAAAATTTTTAATGTGGTATCTCTATATTGTTACCTAGAATTTATAATTAAAGCACCCTATCCAAGGAAGCCCTCTAAAATTTGCCACTGTATATCATTCTGTCTTACAAATATTATTGTCATATTGGTCATTTATATACACAGTCTCATAGATTTTTTTTTAGAAAAGTACACACATTTCATTGTTTAGGTAGAAACCTATACTGTAAATATTTCAAATCAAATCCATTAATTCTCCAACTGTCATATTTTGAAAAGTTATGCCTAAATTGTGCTTAGTAACATGAATGATATTTTAAATGACCTTTTTACAAAAAGGCATTTTCATTTCAATAGCTGAGAATATCTTTGTACTCTTAAGCTGTACCCCATCATTTAATTATTTTACATAAGAGTGAACTCATAAATAATCAGGATGCCTCTTCTCCACCTTAAACTGAGGAATCATTCAGTAAATTTCCCCATTAACTTATATCAATTAAAAAAGAGATTTAAAGTGATAATCTTTAGACCAATAAAAGATTTAAAAAGCTAAAGGCCAAGGCTTCTATATGTTGTGTCTTTACAAATTATGGTTAGAGATGAATTTAAGAGAAAATAAACATTTTTTCTAGTGACTCAAACTAAGCTGCCTGTCACATGGGCCCTGGCCGGCTTCTCCAGCAGAAGCATGATGCTAATGAGGAAGAGGACATGAGTTCAATCTACCTAAGGATCATCTTTGCTTTAACCTATGGGTGAAGGACCCAATGCTTATATGGGCTGCAAAACAGGGAAAAATACAAACTCATCTATTATATTAAAAGAAACCCTTGTTTATTATGAACCATTACTATATCCTCACATAAGGAGGACGTACGTATTTATCTATCTATATCTATATTTAAAAACAGAATTATAAAAATATCATTCTTCTTTTTTCATTGCACAATGAAAAAAACTATCTGAGAGGTATTTCTACAGTGTTTTTGTAATGTTCAAAAAATCTCAACTTCCACACACAATCTCTGATAGCAGCACAAAAGAAGTACAGTCAAATGGCTTCATAAATTTACTCATACAAAGTGAAAACTAATTATATTTGCTATGATACTGGATAGACCTGTCTTAACAAAAAAAAAAAATTGTATTTAACCAATGATTTTATTACCTGTTTAACACTAAATACAATAATGTGGTCTTTAATAATTCACCTCAATTGAATACCATGCTTTTGTTTCTAAGATTTATATCACTTCTTTTGTGTATTCATTTGTTATTTCTATTTGAAGAAAAAAAAATTGAAGAAATTTTTAAAATGTCATTTTGTTCCTGATCTCTAATAAATGGAACTGCTGGGAAGTATGTTCATGGTTTAAGTTAACGTAACTTCTCAAGGGCAGTGTAAAAATGGCTCACAGCATTTGGGGGAAAGTAAGATTCTGATATAAAAGAAAACAACTCTTAGAAACAAGAGAACCATGAAACTACAATAAAATGCAGCTTTCCTTTTCCATAGGTTAATTGACTGTGAGTTGTCAGGTAGAATTCTGTAGTCAAGAATTTTAAAACTATGGTATAGTGAATGTCCAGCACCCCTTGCTCCTCTATATAATGCAAAATATAAAATAAAAATAGAAGTAGTGAAATAAAGCAGCTGTTTAAAAGAACTTTCAATAGAGTGTCCTCCAACTGAACATTACCTCAGAGTTTATTTGACATTTTATCAGGAAGTTAGCATGCATTGTGTTTTCACTAATCCTTTCTATCAATTCATTGGTTGAAAATATAGTACTATCTTGGTTTTTACAAAAGCTACCTGGAGATTGAAGTCAACTCTGAAAGAAACTAATAAAGACAATGTCACTTTCCACCCTGAATAGTGGATTTACTCTACCTTGAGTTGGAGCACCAGGTCCATTCGATATTTACCAAGAGGGTTTATGTCATTTAGAATCAAAGCAATGATGATATCAATCCCATTAGATTCATGAGTAGCAATACACGTCTAGAAAACAAAATGTTTATAAAATAATTTTTCTTTAACATAAAACCACTAGAAATTATATAACAGAAACATATTAGTTTTTTGACATTTAAAATATAATTAACTTTTAACTTTCAGATTAAGTCAAAGGAAAGTCAAATATTTAAGTTGGACTTCTTCTTTTGCATAGAGCCTGACTACTAATTGATTAGTATTGATTATATGACTTCGTACGCAGAACACTGAGAGAGATACTGCATGTAACAGGTATCTTTTAAAAGGAACCACTTTTATAGAATTTCATAGAATACTGGTTAAATTAAATACTCTTGTAGTCAACATTTTTTAAAAATCCTCACCCAAGGATATATTTTTATTCATTTTAGGGAGTGAGAGAAAAACATCGACTGGCTCCCACCAGTATGCACCCCAAACGGGATCAAACCTGAACCTGAGTAAGTGTCCTACCAGGAATCAAATTCACAACATTTTGGTGCATGAGATGATGCTCCAACCTACCAATCCACACAGCCAAGGCATCAACAAATTTTAATATAGCCTTCAATAGACGAGTTCCTTAAATTTAGAATTTTAAGATCTAATTTATCCTGGCTAAGAGAATATTCTCATTTATGATAGGCATATGCCCTAAATTTATGCCCGGGGTTTGTAAGTAAACGCTGTCCGCACGGATGCAGCATTTTAATTTAGCTGCTACTTAATGCTAATCAAGTGGCAAGTGATGCTACAAGGTGGCAGTAGACAGGGACTATTATGTATTTCCTGACGTCCTGGGGACATTCTGTCCATTCTGGTGGCAGATTCCTTAAATTTGAGTGATTTATAAATGGAAAGTTTATAAAATATCCCGAGAGATAAATGTCAGTATTTGAAGATAAGGTCTCCTGTGCTAGGACTCTGAACTTAGTTCATTTTATAGAACTTGAAAATCAGGAATTTGTGGGCTGGAGTATGGGGAGCTCATGTTATAATGCAGCACCCAGTGTCAAGAGGTGTGAAAAATCAAAACCCAGGCAACCAAATGAGAAAAAGTAAAATCAAAGCATCTCTGAAATGAATGTTATAATATTTTTCAGGATGTGTTTATTTCTCCCTTCATACAAGAAAACTTGTATTCCCCTGACACTAAGGAAAACTTGTATTCCCCATCCATCTTCTACATGTCCTGAGGTTCCTCTGATCATTAAAATATTTCCAAACTTACAGGGAATCAATCGCAAATCATCTCTGGAATTTGCTAGCAACCTTCTTTCCTTACAAACATTTGCAGAGCATGGGGTTCAGATTAAGTATATTATCAGTGTATGTTGGATTCACATTGTTTTAGTACAGTATTAGTTTTAGTTTTTATTTTTAGAGCTTACTTGATTTAGTAAATTACTTTCAAAAATCAATTTTATCCTCTTATAAGACCCAAAGTGTGGAATAAACATTTTCTATTATAGATAGACATAGTTTCACCAACAACAAAACCAAATCTCTGAATTTGTATATTTTTCCTTAACTTTAAATGAACAGTTAGGTTGTCTTGTATCAAAGCCCTAGGAGACTGAAAAACACTCCAGGAAAATAAGAGCTAAATCCACGGATGTTTTCAGTGTCATATGCAAATTACAGAGGGGGAAACGGTAAACCCATGACAAATTGTTTATGTTAATAATTGTGCTTTATCCTGTACTTACGTATGTATGTATTTGTGTGCATATGTGTATGCATATACATGTGTATACATAGGTACTATATATGGGTACATAGGTCATATAATTTGCAACAGAAAAGCAGACTTCTTTTTCACTCATATGTTCAATGTTAAGCACTGATGTTTGGTCTCAATGCCTCCTTTAAAATTAATATCCAGAAATGTCTGTGATTTGAAAACTCTTCCTCCCATGCTTGTAATGACAGCCCCATCTTGTCATGGAAAGCACTTGAATGGAGGTGAACAGTCAATTAATAAAGGCAAAGGTGGCTCCCCTCCCTTTAATTCAGGTGTCCCATCTTCTGCTTCCCACAATGTGTCCTTGATATCCAACAAAATGGATTCAGAGGCAAACATTCGGAAAGTGAGACTTGAAACTTTGCCCTGGAAAATGTAATATAGTCAAAAGAACGCTCTCTTTAGACTCAATCAAAAGTCCTGAGTTTTCAGAATGGTTCTACAATTTACCATTTGTCATCCTGAAACACTGGAATGTCACTTAATCTCTGAGTCAGACCCTATTCATTAACAAAATGTCAGCAATTACACCTATTTCATGAGTTTCACCAGTCTACCGTGACAATGAAAAAGATAACATGCACCACCCAATGTAGTGGGGCCACAGAAGCCAAAGGGAGTTTATTCCACAAATCCTAGAAAGAGTCACTACAAGATGAAAAGCCAGCAATGATGAAGAAACATAGTTTACTCTTTCTGATAAGTCTAGTTTTTATCTAAAACATTTTCATAAGAATTTTCTTTTATAATGAAATTAACATAAAATATGGCATAGTATTTGTGAGTCTACAATTCAGTCTTTGTATGTTTTGTTAGAAAAGTAAAAATATCTGGCAAAGCAAGAAGAGAGGTCTTTTAAACGTACACAAGGGTTGGCTTGTTCAACAATTTGATCCCAATTAGTCATGAATAGTTTTGCATTAAGAACCGCTTTCGTGGTTACCTGATTTTCATGGCACGGGCCCTGGCAATACTCGGTCAAGCTTTCCAGAGTCTGGTTGACCAGCACCACATTCTTCTCATTGATGTAGAGACCGAGTAGGCCCAGGCCGCCTGTTGTACTTCCACAAATGCAGTCCAAAAACTGAAGGGTCTCACAGACAAGGTTGTAATTTGTTTTGTTGTTTTGATTCCTCAAGAAGTTCTGAAGGCAAAGGGAAATATGACCTAAGGGTTAAAAAATCACTGTGCTAACTATTTTCTGTTTTCTCTGTGTGTATGTATTTTGCTAACTCAAAAAGATCCCCATGGCAATGTGGAATGGATTTTCTTTTTATAAGAAAGTGTTCATACTTCTTAAATTTATCCTAGGTTTACGGAGAAAAAAAGAAGATTCTTAGGCGTTTGCCTCAAGCACCTATATTTATCAGTATAGTTCTTATCAAGCATTTCTTGATGTCTTTATCCTGAAATTATACAGAGAGGATTAAGTAATAGGTAATAGGAAAAGGAGAAGGAAAAGGAAACTAGAAAGAAGTTCATTAGGAAATAAAGCAACCAAATTTTAAAGTAATGATCCCTTATAAACAGTGAAGTTTCAAATACTAAATGCTACAACCATTTTGGAAGGCAACTTGAAAGCACCTATCAAAATTTTCAGTTGACCTACAACTCCACTACTCAAAAGTTTATATATATATAAATATAAATATATACATACACATACAAACACATACTTTATTATATATAATATAAATTTATATTTTATATAATATTTATTATATATTTAATATATTTCCATGAAATATAATAGATTATATATAAATATTTAATACATATTATTTATAAAATATATGATATATATTTGTATTTATTTATATAATATGAATTTATTGTATATTACCTACCATTCCCCTTATATAAACATAAAAGTTTATATATAATATAATATATATATTATATTTATAAATATATAAGCACAAGAGAGTCACTGCATATTGTCTGTAATAGTAAACTTTGGAAACCATACCATACCTATAATAAAGTGACTGGTTTAATAAATAGTGTATTCAAACACTGGAATATTGTGAAGCTATAAAAATGAGGTATATCAACATGTACTGATACAAACATAAACTAGTAATAACTAATTTAGCAATAAGATATACTATTAACTTTAAAAAAAGCTAAGTTGAGGAACACTATACTATGTGCTTTGAAAAAATGTTTACATGCTTACAGATCCATAGGTTTATATGTGCATAAAAATTTCTGGAAGGAAAAATAAACTGTTAGCAGTACTTTCTTGGGGCCAGTAAACCTTCTGAAAGGGTAAACAAAAATAAAAGCTTTGTTTTATTTATTACTTCTATTTATATATTTTTAAAATTCATTTCTTCCATTTATTCTTTAATTTGTTTTTGTAATTTTCCCCCAATTTTTTGTATTGTGGTAAAATATACCCAAATTTACCATCTTCATCACTTTTAAATGTATAGCACGGGGTATTAAATATATTTATAATGTTGAGATACCGTCACCACGATCCGTATCTCTGGAACCTTTTTCTCCTTGTAAAACTGAAAGTGTCTACCTATTAACAACTCCCTATTGCCCCTCCCTCAGGCCCTGGCAATCAGCATTCTATTTTCTCACTCTGATTTTCACTACTCTAGACACCTCACATAAGTGGAATCACATACTACTTGTCTTTTTGTGATTGATTTAACATAGCATAATGTCCCAAGGTTCATGTATGTTGTAACATATGTCAGAATTTCTTTTTTTAAGGCTGATATTATTCCATCCTACATATATACCACATTTTGTGTATTAATTCATCTGTCTACAGACACCTGGGTTGCTTTCACATATTAGCTATTGACTAACTCTACCATTTATTCTTATTAAATCAAAACTATAAGTAGCATTTTCCAAATTATTTGATCCCACACCCTCATCAGTAAAATATTTGATCAGATTCTATATAATATATCTATTTCCCTCACGGACAGAATAGGTGGGTCGGGAATAAGCATGAAGCCACATCCAGTGTTCTCCTCTGGGCGTAATGCCCCTGGGCTTTGCAGGCCAAGAGCTCTGCAGCGGCCCTCTCCAAGGTGCAGTGCGGCGGTCCGCAAGGGTCACAGCCTCTGCTCTTCATCCATTCCAGACCTTATCCCCTTGGAGGATATGTAATTATTTACATAAATCTACGTCTCGTAACAACTGAGAATACCTGTGGTGTAGACCAGCAACTTTCAACCTTTTTTGTCCTATGGCATGCATAAACTAATTTACTAACATTCTGTGGCACACCAAAAAATATTGTTTTTGCTAATCTGACCAAAAAATAGGTATAATTTTGGTCCTTCCATATCAGATGGCTACTATAGTGTCAGTTGCTGTCATTTTTTAATTTGACAATCTAAGGGAAAAAGATGTCAGTGCCCCTAAGTAAGTAGGCAGGTATTGCATGTTTAAAAAATTTTTGTGGTACATCGGCTGACAATCTCCCTAACGGTCTAGACCCTTACTAGAGAAAACAACTTCAAAATTTACTGTCTCTTTAATATTAGATATGTGTTCTTAGAAATTCTTTCGCCTTTCATGTGGTCTTGCCATGGTGATGTTAGCGGTGTATACAAATAATGCAAAAAATAAAAAGCCAAAATTCCTAGGTAACCCTAAGTTCATCAACTTGATCAAGGGAAATGTACCAAAGAAGATGTATGACCAGGACTGTATTAATTTATAAAGGTATCAACTTCCACTGTAATAAAAACAAAATCATCTTCTACATTAACGCTATTTCTAATAAAGGTATAAGAATGTAATCTCTATACTCACTCCAGAAACATGAATTGGGCTGTACATGATAAAATCCCCTAAAATCTATAAAACCATGAAGGCACAGTTGAGGCAAATGCGACTTACTCAACAAACACCAGAACACTAGGATTAGACGATGCTCACAGAGGTTAAAATGACATAAGTTGAGGTTGAAAAGAATGAAACTTTATGAGCCTGACTTTTTCCCCCATAAAGGAATTTTGTTTTATTGTTACTACTTAGATATAAAAGTTTCTTCCCATTTCAGAGGAGCAGTATTGGTTTTATTGATTATCTCCAAAACTCCTAAACTACTTGTGAGTTTTGAGTTTAATTGCTTACAGCCATGGTCGGTTTTCTCAGCTTTCACACAGAGTAGGACAATACCTGCAGTTCCCGGTTGTGATTCTCACACAGTAACTGAAGGAATCTCAGGATCGGCTGCATGATGGCAATCGCAGGACTCATTGTCACTTCCTCTGCAGACTTCTCCTCAGCATTTCCCACCTCTGATCCTGTGCACATCATGTCTATTTCTGGATCCATTTCTCTTCTGTATACGCAGTATGCTTTGGATGTTGCTGAAGAAGCTTCTGTTAATTGCCCTTTCATTCCCTCTTTTAAATGTAATGATGAATCTCTTACTGAAAATAAAGAAGTACTCTTATATTTCTAAATTAATTTCCTTGTGTTCATTTAAAAAAAAACAGACAACAAGGGGTCCAAACTCTCTAACAAATGAATTAAAAATCATCTGACAAGAGGTGTAATAGTTTCCCAAAAAGATTTTGAGATAGCAACTAAGAAAGTAAATGTGCACTGGGACACTAAAAACAGGTCTTAATGCTTAGCCAGTTTTAGAGGGGTTCGGGTCTTTCTGATAAATATAAAATAGGAGAGTTCACAAATACAAGAAGGTAGGGAAATATGACAAACTTCAAAATGTTAATTTTTCATGATTTGTATTTACTACACTGATGACTGTTATTTGAAAAAACACGAATCTTTCATTAGAGTCTAGAGCTGTAATTTCTGTTCTTACAATGTAAATTTCATTAATACTCAAAAGGTTTGTGACACTTGTTCTTTAACATAGCTTCCACAATGAAATCAAACATTTTCAATTACTACAGTAGGTCCTCACTTAATGCCATGGATAGGTTCTGTGACTTCAAGCAAAATGGCATATGACAAAACCAATTTTGGCTAAATCATATAACACGAGCTAAGTTCCTCTGGTGTCTCCTCAACATTGTAATGAAAACGGTATACATTGAATGAAACAATGACACTCAAGGACCTGCTGTAGCTGTTTTGCATCCATAATGCACTGTTTGAGTTTTGTCCTGCAGAGTTGTTTCACTTGACTGAGACAAGTCAGATGACAAAGACAGGTAAGATCTAAACACTGTGCTATCCTCTTTTCTCTCATTCTACGCTCCCAGGAACTCAAATATTTCTTTACCTCTCATTCGTGGACCAGATGTCATCAACTCATTGTCATCATCCCTTTTTTTGTTACCTAGGTCTATGGTATTAACTGTCACTGTTGATCTTATCTCTTTCTGAGCAGCCTTCATTCGGTCATACAGAACTTTGAAGAATTTTTCTGATCTTTTTTGTTCATGCAACTGCTGATAGAAAGAATACTGCAAGAAAACATATTTTAAGATGTCAATACCCAACAAGAGAAAAATAGTGTTTTTATGCTTGAAATAAACATAAGCATATAAATAAAATCACACATTTAATGTGTTGATTACTATCATTTCAAAAATAATAAATTGAGTGTTTTTGCCAGTCTCCTGTTCTATTTAATGTATACTAATAATAGCTTATATTTACTTAGCACTTTCCATTAAAATTCAGCATATTTTCGTGTGTTATTTAATTCATCCTAACTATTTATTTTAAAAATTTACAAAGGGACTATATGAAGTTGTATGCAACTTCGGTTTTTATGTTATTATAAAGTCATGTATTAATTCAACACATATTTACTGAGTGCTTACTATGTGCCAGGCCCTATGCTGGCACTAGAGAGAGAACTAAAAGGAACAACAACCACAGTCCCTGCCCTCATGAGTTTGTCATCTAGAAAACAAGCCATGATCATACCTATGGATGATACCAATGATCATCCTATGCAAATGAGCTTATGGAGAATTACAATTTGTTGTTTTTCTTTTTATCTAAATTGCAGCACAGTTAATTCAGGCTGTGTAACCATCATAATCCCACTCACAGGAAACCCACTGATAAACAGGCACTGAGTCCTTTGGTTCTTCATTAGCTACATTGCTTTGCATGGAATAAACCCACCGTAAAACAAATTCTACTTTATAGCTTATAATGACATAGAAAGGATTCCACATAAAGAATGATTAAAATATATCTTAGTAAGGCGGGGGGAATACTGGACCTGGGAAATATCTGCCCTAATCATTATCTGCTTAGGGACTTATGGGAACACCCAGGAGAGGGAGGAGAAAGGAAAGTGAGACATTCTAGAAAAGACAGAATCTGCACTGGGTGAGGAAATTCTAAGTTGTTGATACTGAAACCACGGGCTAGACAAAACACAAACAAGAGAAATAAAGTAAAGAAATTAGAAGATAATGATCCCATTAACTGCGGTGATTAAGAGCGTTATATAACCTTGCTGAGAGACAGTGTAAAGGAAACTTAGAAAAAAAAGATTTCTAGATCAAGTAGAATTGACCACCAATCAATTCTAATCATGGTTACATATTTAATCAATCTAAAGAGCCGATTTGGGGGAGTTTGGCTCCTGCAGATACGCTTTCTAGAAGGAGTGCCTGGAACTGTGACCCACGGGCTCTATGACTTTCAGGTGAGACGCTAATGATGTCAGGTCTTGCATGGTTACCTGCCCTGAAATTTTCGGTATCAGCAATGTATATGCACAAAGTGATTTATGAAGCCTTAGAAGCTGGCTCCATATCTACAAGAAGCTCCTAAGCAGAGGGCTAGCAAACTCTCAAGGAAGCAGGCCAAAAAGCCACAGTAACCATAGCAACTACACTGAAACAGTCAAGCTGGTTCTGTTAATTCAAAGGATAAACGCAGCATTCACAGAGCTCTCTGGTCCCACAAATTAGGCTGATACTTAAATCCTAATATTTTCAATATCTCATGGAGTTATATTGGAGGGGCTTAGTTCCAATACATTAATGAGGAAGTTATAGGAACTCTATGGCTCTATTAAAATGAAGCTCCTTGGCTTACATGATCTCTTTGAAACTTTCAATACAACTGTGTGATGAATAAATGATGTTCTTATCTCCACTTGAAAATTCAAAAAATGAACTTTAGTAAAGACAAGTGAATTACCCAATATTATGTAAACTGATAAGTGGTACAACTAAAATTTAAATCTAGATTCTCTAACTCTAAATCATAAATTTATCAAGTAACTTCTTAAAATCAAAACAGCAAATTATTTACACAGACCACACCTTTTTTAAACTAGGGCTCTACAAATCTAAACATTATGATTTAAATAAAGATAAAAAAAAAAAGTGTGCTTTATATATGTGCACATACTCTCAATAGGTAGCATAAGGATTTCTTTTACTGACGACATGTTTTTTGATTAGGAAACTACCTCCATAAGCTGAATAGAGTACAGGGAACATGCTAAGGATTTCTCAGGACCAAGGGAGATGGATAAGCAGATGTGTGTGGCAGAGGAAGGACTTCCCCCGAAGAAAGAGGGGCGACACTAGAAGTGGGAAGGCAGAAAGGGGAAATGAAGTACAGATCTGGGGAGATGGAGGAAGACCAGGGCAGGAGACAGGGTGAAACAGTCAGAGAAATTTCCCAAGAATGAGGAGGAAGAAGATCACTTTAGAAAGATGTAAATAGCAGTTGAGAGCACAGATTCTGGAGCGAAACTGCATGGGTTTGATCCTGACTCTCTCTCTAACTAGTCATGTGATCTTTGATAAGAAATTAAAACCACCTATCTCAGAATTTTCTTTGGTAAGATGAGATAATATCAAAGTTACCTCAGGGGTTGTGTTTGGGATTAACCAAATTAATACACATAAAGCAGTAAGAACAGTGCCTGGTATTTAGGAAGTATTATTTTCATTATTAATGCTCAATTTGAAATTGTAAAGTAAGTACCTGCTCTATCTTCCCCTTCAACCAATCTTGAATAAAGTATATTAAACTTATAAATTGACTTCTGTAACTAGGAGGGGGATCAGAGTCTTATCTCAGTACCACATATATAGGGGTGTCAAGAGAACCCATGAACTAAAGAAGGAAGGCACCAGTAGCTAAGGTGACTGTGAGCATGCACAACCCCCTACGGACTGGCGTAAGTCTTGACAAGTTGTGGGTTTTAAACTCCTGAAGCACAAGGAATAGGATTCCAGTTGACCTTAACCAGGTCTCTTCGAGCCAGGAACACTGAGCTGATATCTGGGTTATACATCGATGCAGATACATGAGAAGCTGAACAGGATGACACTGGTAATTGAAATTGTCAAAACCCATCCTAAAAGAATGTTTTCATGTACAAAATAATTTAATTCTGTTTCATGAAAAATATTTGTTGAGTGGATATAAAGCTCTATAGATTTAAAGAATGGAACATGATTCCTCACTTTAAGAAACAAACGAAATTTAACTGGAAAGGCAAGATGTCATAAAAGTAACAAAAGATCCCATCTGATGACCCTCAGTGGCGCAGAAACAGGAATCTAGAAGGTACGGTAATCCCAAGGATTGCTTCTACCTAAAGATGCCCAAAACTTCTTTTGCTTCTATGCTCTGGATAATCTACATCTGACATTACAGAGTTGCCTAGACAATGTCTTTAGAAAATCCAAGCTGAATATCTGGTTATAGAAGAAAGAAAATTTCCAAGAAAACCACTCAAATCCCATCACCTTTCACACATCTTCCCCCCCCCCGCCCCGCCCCTTTCACACAGCTTCCTTCAGAAGAATCTGTGCTGAAGTACAGGCAAAGTGCCAAGTGAGTATTGAAGAAATAAGCGCTATGGGATCTCAGATAAAGGAGTAATGGCCAAAGGCCCCCACCAGTCAGGGATGGTGTGAAAAAGGACCATTCACTCACAGAGCTTTCACTCCTGACTACATCTTACTAGAATCGTTTTCTAACTAAGAAATATAAATGTCTTAAGGTTGTCTTTTGGTCATTGTGTTATTTACTGTTCATGAGGTGTTTACCTAAAGCCCCCTATTACTGGATATTTCATATCATGAAATTCCTGTTGTTCCTTGTATTTGATCACTAAATAAAGGAAAAGATCCTATTTCTTAATTAGGTGTGGCTTCTATTTGCCATGAGCAGGGAAAAACAGATTCTGGAATTTCCAATTAGGTGTAAGCACAGTCTCCTCCCCTGACCACGGCAAACGTAAAAGAGCAGGTTAGTTAGCGAGCGGCAGGGCCGGGAGGAGAAGGCGCCTCCTGTGCGCACTTCCCGGCTCTCAGGCTCCTGCAGCATGCTCTCCCTTTGGGTGCGGAGTTGGCCAGGGGAAACTTGGCAGGAGTTTCAAAGTAAAAATGGTCCCTTCTGGAAATACTGCTCCAAGCTTTGCATTCAGGTAAGCATATTGCTTGCTGTCGTAGAGCACTAAATCGATGAATGATGACTTTCAAATCAGCCTGCCCTGAGCTGAATGAACAACTGAAATGGTTCTTCTCTCACCCTAGTGAAAAATTCACTTACACAGACGCGTCAGGGTAACGAGCACTGGGAGACTCGGGCAACGGCAATGTTACTGTTCAAACTTCTAAAAACGGGTCTGGGGTGGGATGTGTGGAGAGGGGTGGTGAATGTTGTTGAGACCTGCTGTAATGCCAAGGTCTGTGGGAGGAGTTTATGCGTACCATCTCTTTTAATTAATACATTTACTTCTTAGATGACTCAAATGTCATTTTTACCTGCTGAAAGTTGGCCTAAAATTTCTGTAAGCAAATCAGAATTTCTGGTATTAATGTTAGAAAGGATGCTTCTAAGGTATGTTCTGCTTCACTGGATAACTTGTGGAGCTCTGTATCTATAGCAAATCGAATAAATTTATAAGGAAAATGTGATACAACACTGGTATATTGATACACCATGAGAGGCTAAAAGAAAAAATACATTACTTTTCCTTGGTTTCTATGACAAGTAAATAAGAAAGGCAAATAACAAATGTAATGCCATCATGATAAGTAGGTACCTGCGTTTGTGTATTTCCTCCTTCCAGCAAGGCAATGCCAAGTAAAATCCCTTCTGAAAAAATTCTGTCATTTTTGGTGTTCACTATAACATCAATGACAAGTTCCGAAGCACCTTCTTTGTCCAGTAGACACTGAATATCGGACATTGATATCCCCATCTTATCTGAATCTTGTCCAGAAAAGCTTCCTGTGATTAGGAAATATAACTTAAATAAACCTGAATGACAGGCATTAGTTAACATATGAAGTTTTCAAATTCTTAGACCTTAAGAATATCTAAAATTGGGACTCTTTCCCTACAAAGTTAAATATATTAGAAGCTTGGGATTTTTTTTAATCAAATGTTTGTAAAAACATAACTTTCATAAATGTATGCCACCTGTAAATGATTTTTCTTCATAAAAAAATCTTTAGTAAAAGAAAACTAGCTTTATTTATGTCTTTAATTTAGATCTTAAGAAAATATGGTTTACCTAATTTCCAAAGTTAAAAGACAAAATTAATTCTAATGTTTAAATGCATTGTTGAAAGAACCTGAAATGGTAGAAAGGTTTTTAATAGTGCTTTTCATTTATTTTTTTTAGTTTTATTGAGACACAGTGGCATATAACATAAATTTAAAGTATACAACATAATGATTTGATATATGTATTACTATAAAATGGTGACCCTAAAAAAGATTAGTTAATATTCATCACTTTACATAGTTGTAATTTTTTCCCTTGTGATGAGAACTTTTAGTGTCTATTCTCTTAGCAACTTTCAAATACATAATACGGCATTAAGTATAGCCACCATGTTGTACATTATATCCCCAGGATTTATTTATAATTGAAAGTTTGTACCTTTTGACCACTTCCATTTAAGGCTCTTACTCCCCACCCCCCACCTCTGGCAACCACAAATCTCACCTGTTTCTCTGAGTTTGGTTATTTTTTTTAGATTAGACCTGGTGAGATTAAACAGTGTTTATGTTTCTCTGTCTGACTTATTTCATTGAGCATAATGCCCTGGAGGTCCACCCTTGTCGTTGCAAATAGGATTTCCTTCTTTTCTTATGGCTGATAATAGTGCTTTTTAAATGAAATTTTTATATTCGTGTTATTTTAAGTAAAATACTAGAGTACTGGCCTGAGGATGTTATGAGAATCTTAAAATGCAGAAAAAATGAAAAGACTTGCCTCCTCCTTGTGCAGATTTGCAGTAGGTTCCAGAAAGGTGTCCATTTATACTAACTCCATAATCTCCCTTAAAGTATCGATTCAGGAGTATTTTTCTTAATGTGTTGCCCTAATAAAAAGAATAAGAAAGATGTTGGTTATTGTTTCTTTCCCTAGTAAAAGAACAAAATGTCAGTACATTAAAGTACCACTTAAATGCATTTCATCAACAATGTTCAAATGTGGAAAAAATTAATTTCATACTACATAATATATTTGGAAACAAAATTTGGCAAATATTTCCCAAGACAATAGTAGTTCAGCTTCTCCCAAAAATAAAGAATAAAATATAGTAATTAGAGTGTACTAAGAAAATCATAACTGCTGAGAATTTGAGGTGCTTCAAAAGCTTTGGGTCCCAGTGTTGGTATATTAGTGACACCTGAAGAGAAATAGATTAACAAACATCCTAAGAAAGAAAAGCAAAAGCCTTATTTAAAGGAGCTCAGTAAAACAAGCTAAGAAAATTAAGCTTGATAAAATAGTGAATCACATTTAATCTCCAAGAGCTTTATTCGAAAGATAGTGGGTAAAAAATGTCTTCCTCTACAAAACATGCAATTTTAAAATTCATAAGTCCTCAATTTTGTACTGGTTACAAGACATTTTTAAAATAATCTGTTTTGCAATATGGTCATTCGCATGTACTTAAGAAATATAGATAACCTAAAATCTTCCATTTTGTTGTTTATTATTATTTTAATAGACCAGGCTAATTTATAAAGTTATTTAAAGCATACTCATTTAAAGTATTTAAATGATCACATCAACTACTGAGGTGCTAGTCCCATTATGCAGGTAAAGAAACTGTGGCCCAAAGGCTTATGTAATTAGCTGCACATCATGCAGTTAATAGTTTGAGAGCAAGACCTGAACTCAGTCCTAGACTGCAAAATCTAGGCTATTTCCTCATGCTTTGCTGCATGACCCCTTTCACACTGTGACAAGTGACTCTCATTGCTCCTTCTCTCTCTCCCTCTCTCTGTCCCCCTCATGCTTTGGTTATCCTTGCTCTCAAGCCCTTAAGATTTTGTCCTCAGTTCCTTTGTTGGCCTCCTCTCCTCATCTTTCCTCTCCCCGTCAGCAATTTCACCCAATCCTTGGTTGTGCAATCACTTCTATAGGTCTGACCACGAAATGTGCTTCCTCCAGCCTTGACCTTGCTGTCCTAGGCTTCTCAACCTGTTTCCTCTTAGAATTCCTGGTTTGCATCTGGAGGTTCTGCTGGCATCTCCAACTCAATTTCTCAGAACAGCGCAGTCCTTGTCTCTTAAATCTGTTCTCCTTTCAATTTCCATTTATTTTAAGGAGAACACAATCATTTTTGTCAGTTAGGCTGCAAACTTACGGGATCATTTACTAACCCCACAACTTGACAATGATTTGTGAAATCCTATCTATTCAACCCTTCAGCTGTAGCTTCCAGCCGTGCCTTCACATATTATACTTGAACCAAAGTGCACTATATGATGATTTCTCAACCACAGCTTTCTAAGTCTTTCTCTTTGGTCACTTAATACTCTCTGCCTAAAAAGCTCCTCTGTCTTACTTGTGGACACGTCCTATCTTCCCTCTTCATTCTACAAATAAGTTACTAGGTATCTACTGTGCTTTAGGAATTATCTAAGTGAATAAGATATAACTCTCCCCTCAAGGAGTTTACCATAAGGTCAGTTCCATCACAGAAATGTATACTAGGCCCTGTGGAAACACCTAAGGGGAAATGGCTGACTCTGAAGAGGCTGTACACATATACCTCTCCTATTAACCCATATGGTCATCAGAGCAAAGCTGTCTTGTACACAGCCAGAGCACAACAAATATGTCCCAAATGTCACAGTGCCAAGAATTTTAATAGACACTCAAAGTGTCTGGAGTTGTTTATCTTTATAGCAACTTCTATTTATTGATACTTAAGTTTTAGAACACAAACATGTATGATGGTTTCCTATTTCACATTTACTTCCTTTATGACTGCTTTTATATAGGGGTTTAGTGAGTAAAGGTGATGACTAGTCTTGGAGGAAACAGTGAGCTGTAACAGCGTATTCCACCAATGAATTCGACTCTACTATCCCTTATAAAACCTAAGTAGGGCACCTACAGAAGACATTAGAAATGAACAGCCTCCTCTATTCTTTTACTAGAAGGTTTTATGAGTTGAATTAATTTCAGCTGGCCAAAGAATGATACTTCCCCTCCCCTTGAATGAGCAAGGCAGAGAGGGGTAGGGGAGGGAGACAAAACATTTCTTTGGAGTCAAATGAGCTTTTACTATGTATCTCTTGACAGTAGAAGAAAATGCTACCAGAGAACTTGTAGACCCATAAACTCTGGGGGTATAAGTTGAGGAGAAAACTTAACTGAAGGACTAAATTTCTTTAAAGGTAGCTCAGTTTGTTGTACTAATCATGGTTCTCCCCTCTACAGACCAATGTACTGCTTGTCACTCTAATCCTGTAAGATACAGTTGGTCCAGCTGTAATCAATAATGCTCACGAATGTGAAAACCCAGGCCTGTTTTTTCTGAAATTGCGCAAGTCAATGTCACTGTCTGGAAGAGAACCTGTTGTGAGCAGAGGCCTGGGTCCTTGTGAACTGCAACAGGTCCCTTTCGATTCTCCATAAGGGAGGCTTTTAACCACACTGCTCCACAAACCCAAAGAGATAAACAAACATATTTTTGAAAGGGAGACTGAAAACTCCAATTATCATTTGTTTTTAAAAAAATTCCTTTTATATTGCTCAAAGAATAAAGTTGTTCGAAACCAACCTCAGAGTAAAACTGCATCACACCAAATTTTTAAAAAGCACGCTACTTACCATTATTTCTAAATTCTCTTTGGGCAGACAAAAATCATAGGTACTTATCAGATTCAACAGCAGCAAAATCAAATGAGCAACACACTTCTTATTCAATGCCAGACTAGCTAGAAGCATCTATTTTCTAACTGTAATATTAGGAATGCTATAGAAAGGGGAGGGGATTGTCTATATCTCTGTTCGTAATTCTGGAGCCACACTGCCTGGGTTCCAATCCCCTCTATACCACATAATAACTGGAGGATCTTAAGCAAGTTACATTACCACCATGTGCCTCAGTCCCACGATTGTCAAAAGGCATGCTCATAACCCTCATTGGTTTTCTTAGATGATTAAATAGGTAAAAATATGTAAATTCCATAGAACAGTCCTGACACACAGTAAGTGCCATATAAGTTGGGTATAGTTGATGTTATTCTTGCTGGTATTAATATTATCCAGATCATGGAATAGTTTATAATTTACAAAGTGCTTTTGTATACACTTTCTCACTTTATATGAAATCTTTCCACAAGAGTAAAATAAATTCTTACATTCTAAGAAAAAGGCAAAATATAAATGATTAACTGCCTTAAAACCCTAATTTGTCCACTGTTAATCAGTCCTTGGAATTACATACTCATGAGCTAATATGCGTGTACACTTCACTGCGTAAAATGTTTTTTTACAGTTTCAACTAAAGTGGAAAATATTCTACCTTGGTTTAAACTCCATAGTTGTTGTTAAAAGTGGACAAAGTACAGGTTCAGATAGAACAGGATTATGTTCTGTTTGTCTTATTCATCCTCATTTAAGACTGAAAAACTTTAGATATTGCTACATCTCAAGTTTAGCAGAACTGATTTCTGTTGGCGAATGTCTAGTTCTGAGTTGAGGGATGAGACGCAAGTGCTTGTTCCAACTTGTCTCGGGCCATTCTCCACGGCGACGGGTGTCAGAGAGGATAGCACAGATGCAAGTCCTTTCCACAAATTCCTTCAACTCAAATAAAGTAACTGTAGGACCACTGTCAGAAATTCTGGTGCCAGGGTTGTAAATTACAGTCTCAGAGCTATCATCGCCATAGCAGAAACTTGGGGAAGAACTCAAAGCACATTAAGCCATTTCGAAAAAAATTCTAAAGCAATTGTGAAGTTTCCCTTCTGTAGTTGCTCTTCAATTCCAAAATGAATTCCTGACTGGGCTTCCCATCGAAGGTGTCTTTGTTGGATTCGACCAAGGAGCAAAATATGTCCTTTCCAGTCTTTTAAATATCAAAGTCAATTCCAGGCCACAAGACATAGCTTTTAGCCAATGTCTTCATGTGAACACATCCCAGATGTGCTAAATGTAATGTAGCCAAGATAACTAACAATCACCTTCTGAAATTACAACAAAACATCTCCATAAAAAGACATCTTCTGTGGCCAGAGAAGTCATGCTGACAGTCTGAATATCTGGGAGGGATGCTTTGATCCTGGCCACTTCCTGCTGCACCAACTCCAATGTATCAAAAATTAGGAAGCTTAAAAATGAGTGCCTTTCACGGATAAAAAGGATAACGAAAATTTGTTAGTCTCAGGAAGGACGACAGATTTTCTTTGATTTTCAAGACAATACTATTTGCCTTAATAGGAATTAACAGCATTGGGAGTGAAGAGTTCAACAATGTGCAGTCTGAAGTACTGATTCCACATTTGCTCCCTTTCCCGTGGAAAACTTATAGGCTAAAGTAATATTTTTTCCATTGTGAACACGATCGTCAAGACATCATCAAAATAGGACACCATAACCAGAATCCTAGAAAACCAAGTCCTCTACTGAAAATTCAAAAGGTAATAAAAACTGCAAACTAAGGATGCTTAATTTAGGGATTTCCCTGAAAGACCAAAGATGAGCTACTATTAAGCTTGGGTGAGATCTGCAAGGGGGTGAGTTCATGTATCCATAGCCTCCACTTAGTCTCATTTAAACATTAAACCTGGTATTAGCCTAACATGGTGTTTCCTTAATCATTTCATTTAATGACAGCATGTGTGATTAGATATTTTTCATCATTTGAATTCCCAGGGGTAAAAAGGTACATTTTTAATTTCAAATAAGTCATTGTAACAGCTGTATCCTAATGGAATTACATGAGGCCCACCATCTTCAAGGAACTCCTCTGGGAAAATGGGGCCAACCCCCCATCATCTAGCTGTCTAATGGTCTGAACTACTTGGTTACTGACTCCAAGGAGTACAGGCCATTCCTTCCCAAGGTGCTTTT